TACGTCAGTCTGACGGCGGGAGGGAGCCAGCGGCGGCGCAGGCTGCAGAAGCGTCACGTGGGCTGGCAGCGCGCGTGCGCAGTCGCGCTGCGCCGCACTGCCCTCTGCTTCACCACCTCCGCCGCGAGTCAAGCGCTCCCGCCAGCCCCCGCGCGTCTGTGCTCGCTCCTGGCAAGAGGCGCCGTGCGCCTGCGCCCGGGCCGGAGGCGCCGTCGCGCCTGGACCTTTTCCTCAGTTTTTCCTTTCCCCCCCCCACCCCACCGCGGCCCTCTGGTCGGCGCTTGCGCAGAGAACTCAACGCTGAGGCGGTCAAGGTGCTGGGAGGGGCCCGGGTGGGCGTGGGAAGGACCCAAGGTCGGGGGTCTCATCCACCCAACTTCGAGCGAGCAACAGAAGGCCCAGCAGTGGGCTCGGCCCAGGTCCTGACCATCACGGCCCAGCAGGCCGGGTCCTCGTGGGCGCCGCGCGGGCCTTTGTTTCCTGCCCTGCCATTCCCGCAGGGAGGACAAGCATGCAGAGCTGGAGCGCGTCTGTTGCCGCCGCCCCCGCCGACGCGGGGTGTGCGCGCGTGCACGCGGAGAGGGGGCTCTTGTTGGAGGTGTGTGCGCGGGGTGACAGTTTCGCTCTGCCTAGGCCGTGCCCACAGCGAGGGTTATACTAGACCAGTGAAGGGGAGTGAATCACTGACTGCTGATTGCGTTCCTTTTCCACAGATTGTCTAAAGCGACAGGAAAAATGGTGGAAAATTCACCGTCGCCATTGCCAGAAAGAGCGATTTATGGCTTTGTTCTTTTCTTAGGCTCCCAATTTGGCTTCAGTAAGTACTTTTTTGGTGGATGGCCAGGGGCTTTTTCTGGTGGTCAGTGACGGAGATGATACATTTGTTAGGCTGTGCACACACGAGCTGTTGATTCTTCCTACCTATGTCTCTTTTTAAGAAAACCTGGAGGGAACTCATGTGTGTTCAGAGTGTTCTGTGTGCCAGCACAAGCCTAAGAGATTGAATCTCAACAAGTAGTACTTATACAGAACCAGACACTATGGCAAAGTGAATAAAACCTGGTCCGTGCCTTTAAGGAGGTCATGGTCTTGTGGCCTAGACGGACAACTACATCTACAGTTACTGATCAGTGTGATGCGTGTCATGGGAGCACAGTGGAGAGATACTGAGATCAGACTGGAGTCATAGTTCGCTTTTTCCGGGGGACTTTCCCCCTGGCGCTTACACTGTTTAGAAAAGAATAAGTAAGATTGAAGGAGAAGTGGAAAGGCCTTGAATGAAGGCATGAGAGGGTGTAGAAGTGGGGAGTTGGGTATGGCTCCACTTCCTCATGCAAGAGCTGAGGAGGGAAGAGTGTTGGACTAAAGAAGTCAGACTGAAATATATTCCCTTTACATCCTGGATCTCCCTGAATCCCCATAATGTTCCATTTTACAGATAAGGAAATTGTCCCTCACTGAGACACTAATATGCCCAGAGTCACACAGCAGGCCCCAAAGGATTTGGGAATTAATTGTGAGGCAAATAAGAGGGAGAAAATTGGGTATCCCCGATCCAACTTTCTGAAACTCTGTAGAAACCAGGAATGAGGGAGAGTGGTAGCACTTCTGAACTCTAACTGAAAAATATCAACCTGCACTGTCAATACAGCTCACAGATGGACCTAATAAGGGAGCTGTTACCCAGAGGAGTCTATGAAGTGAAGAAGTTATAACTGAGTTTAAATTGTCTCCTCCATGGATTAGATATGTAACTTGGGACCATTTACTTAACTTTGAGCCTCAGGTTCCTAAGCTGTAAAAGAATATTATTATTATTATCATTATTATTATCAGGTTCCTAATCTGTAAAAGAATATTATTATTATCAGGTTCCTAATCTGTAAAATAATAATATTATTATCATCATCATTATCATTACTGAATGCTTATTATGCACAAAACAATCCTGTGAGGTAGTAACTGTTATAATTATCTTCATTTTAAAGATGATAATACTGGGATTTAAATAACTTGCCCAAGATCACAAGGCTACTTAAATGATAGTGCTAGAATTTGAACCCATGCACACTGTCTGACTTCACACTGCTGCCTCTTATGACTGTGGTGAGGATTAACTGGAATAATTTAAGTAAAGCACTTAATGCACAGGAGCCATAAGTACTTAATATGTGTTAGCTACTGTTGTTGTTATTATCATTTTTGTAAATCCTTGTTCAAAGAGTATTTCAAGGATTAAAAACTATACATGACTTTTAAAATGTAAATCCCATAAAACCCACAGCCAAAAATTATTAGTTCAAGTTTTTGGTTTTTTTTTTTTGAGTTGGAGTCTCACTCCGTCACCCAGCCTGGAGTGCGGTGGCACGCTCACGGCCACCCCAGCGTCGACCTGCTGGGCTCAGGCAATGCTTCTGCCTCAGCCTTCCAAGTAGCCAGAACTACAGGCACATGCTACCATGCCCAGCTAATTTTTTGATTTATTGTAGAGATAAGGTCTTGCCAAGTTGCCCAGGCTGTTCTCGAATGCATGGGCTCAGGCAATCCCCTCACCTCAGCCTCCCAAAGTGCTGGGATTACAGGCTTGAGCCATCATAATTCAAGTATTTAATGAGTGCTCACTGTTTGCCAGGTACTATTACAGGCCAGGGAGAAGTAAAACAGCCAAATATTTCCTTGCTTTCATAGTATTCATTCTTGGGGAGGATAGCCAATGGACAAATTAAGTAAAACATAACAATATCAGAGGTTAACATGTACTGTGGAAAGAAATTAAGCAAGGGAAGGAGGATGAGGGATGGAAGGAGGTCCTTCTAATGTGCTTCTATGTCATCCTTTATAACTCATTCATTGGCACTTAACACAATTTAGTGAAAATACCAATTTACTTGTCTCTATTTACTACTAGATTTTTAGCTCAGGGAGAGCAGAAGCCATCTCTTTCAGGTACATCATTGTATCTCACGCTTCTAACATACAGAATTCTGTAATCATATTTGTTAAGAAAAAAAAATTATTGATGTAGGTAGTTTGAAACTTGTCTCTGACACTTACCTTGGGCAGATGATATAACCTTTGTAAGATTCCATTTTCTGTAAAAAGTGCATACAAGCCTTAAAGGATTGTGTTGAGGATTATATGAAATAGTGCATAGAATGCTTAGAACTGTGCTTAACCTACAGTGAATGCTTAAAGTTTAGGTATTGTTATTACACAGGGACAACAGTAAAGGGTGTCACAAAGCTATGGGATTGAGGGAAATAAGATGGTACTCTGAAAGATAAGGCAGAAGCTCAACATGTAGTGGGTCAGAACTAGAGTAAGGTAAACTCCCCTATAAACAACAAAATGTATGTAATTACTTCAACCCTATGGAGGTGAAGTTTGAACACATACTATACCTAAAGCAAATTGCTAGCTGATAGAAGGATTACAACAATTGCTTAGGCATGATTTGTGCTCTTGAATTGCTTAAAATATTGTGTGAGAATCAAGACATCTCAAAAGTGACTAATAAGGTAATCAATAAGTATTACAAGAATGGTACAGAAAAGGATCTAAACAACTGAAAGGGAAAAATCATTTCTGAGTGAATCAAGGATGCTTCAGAGGAACTTTTTTTGTATTATCTGAACCTTAGTAGATTAGATGTTTACCTTACTAATTTCTCTCTCTCTCTCTTTTTCCTTCCTCTTCTATAGTACTTTATCTCGTGTGGGCTTTTATTCCTGAATCGTGGCTAAACTCATTAGGCTTAACCTATTGGCCTCAAAAGTAAGTTTAATATATTTCTCAAATAAGGATATAAGCAATGCTGTTTTGAGGAATCATATTCTTCCTTGAAACTATTCAAATCTTAAATAGTTATTCTTTTAAAATTCATGAATAGCCTTATAGAAATTGAAAGCTTTTTAAAGATCATTATTGATGTACCTCTAATTAAAGACAGTGTAGTGAACACATATTTATCTTCATTTCCTCCCAAAATACTAGAACCTTATAGAAACAAATTTTTTGGTAAGGTATAAATCCACAGAAATAAAGAATAGGATAACAGATAAGAGGTATCACCAGCATTTTGGAAAGTGAATTGCAAGAGGTCAGAGGTAACTGACTTAGTTTCTGCTTTTTCCACATGCTAAAGTCGTGAAACCAGCAAGAATATTTGTGCCCTAGAACTCCATAATGGTTCAAATGTGGTAACTCTGGTTTGAACTGAAAACTTGTTTAAAAAGCATTAAACTCTCAAATCTCCCTCCCTCAGTCCTCAAAGCAGGGAGACTAATCCTGTCCTCTCCTGCAGAAAACAGGAGTTTTACACTGTGAAATAGTTGAGTAAGAATCTCTATCCTGGGTCTGAGTATGGAAATTAGGTACCTTTTTGAATACAGGAGTAAGTAAAAAACCTATATGGCTGAATAATAAGGTCTACCCCTTTTCTCATTAGGTGCCCAGGCTTACACTACTCCTCCAGAAAAAGATAGGAAGTTCCTTCCTAAGGAAGCTGACCACCCCAAGAGAAAGAATCTATGATTTCTGACATTTAGAGAAACCCAGTGAAGCTCATGTCTAACTCTCTTAGAGTGAGGCTTACCGGTTGGCCAGCCCTGCTCACATACACACAGTGCTTCCAGTTAGCTTGGTAGCACTTCATTTTTAAATATGAATGGACTGCCATAAGTTACCAGACATTGAAAGAAAGCCTCTAACATTAAATGCAAAAACCAAAAGAAAAAAGGGAACTTGAAGGAAATGGAGATAATGCAGGGAACAGAAGAAAACTTTAAAATAAAATTCTCAGGTAAGAGTATAACTATAAGAACAGAATGCCATACAAAAGGAATTCTCAGGGAGTTATACTGTATAAACATGATAGCCCAAATTAAAATTTTGATTGAAAGGCGGGAAGATAAATCAAAGATAATCTTCAGAAAGTAGAACAAAAGGCAGATAAATGAGCTAGACATGATGGTGCACGCCTACAGTCTCTGCAACTCAGGAGACCGAGGTGGGATTGCTTGAGCCTAGGAGTTTGAGGCTGCCATAAGCTGTCATTGCACCATTGCACTCACTGGGTGACAGAGCGAGACCTTGTCTCAAAAATAAACTTTAAAAAAAAGAGAAATGGAAAATAGAGGAAAGTATAGCAGGGCTAAAAATCTAACTATTATAATTTTCAGAAAGAGAAAACAGGGAGGAAATTATTAAAGAAACACAGCATGCAATAAAACATGGCAAAATAAGAGTACTCATTACTTAATAATATTGAGAGGCATGATAGAATTCTATCAGGCTCTGGTATTGATAGATACATGGGAAGCCAAGCAAACAGGCTAAAAGATGTAATTAGTAATTCCAGAAAAAACAAAAAGGTGTACAAAAAATATAATAGACTAAGTTTCTCAGTTGCAAACATTGTTTATATAGTCACAATAATTTTTTAAAACTGCTGAAATAAGCAGAAATTGTGATATAAATATAGAAGACAGAAGGAGGTAAATTCCTTTTCCATATCAGAAAATCCAAAGAAAATGTCTGAAATTGATTTTAAAAAATAATAAATGAGCATATTAGTAGAAATGAGGAGGGAAGTACCAGAAAACAGCTCAGACATTTACAAGGTTCCTTTTTCAGATGGTGTGATAGAGGTCTTCAGGTTTTCATTACAAGCCTCATAGAACTATTTGAGTGTCTGCTATGTATGCAAATTACTTTAATAAAAGTTAAATTTAAATTTTAAAAACCACTGTGTTATCTTTGTGACTGACTCTTAAGAATTACAACTTTTTAGGGTGTCAATTACGTATTTTAATATTGTCTTCCGCAGATATTGGGCAGTTGCATTACCTGTCTACCTCCTTATTACTGTCGTAATCGGCTATGTACTCTTGTTTGGAATTAACATGATGAGTACCTCTCCACTCAATTCCATTCATACAATCACAGGTAACTATACAAAAGGAAAGTGCTGGGGAATGGAGGGTAGGGTATTAGCACTTTTTTCAGAAAAGCAACCAAGAATAGGCTGCAAGACACAATAAAAAGAACCTAGTAGGAATAAATACAAATTTATACAAAAGGAAATATTTACATGAAGGAAATAACTTCTGATGGATATGCTTTACGTCTCAGTATGTTCTAGTTATGTTCATGGCGGAAATACATTCTGATGAATCATAGCACTAGTTAGCATGTGCATTTTCCAATAAAAACCACAAGTATATATAATATGTTCCTCAGTAACTGCCTGAGAAAACCTTCTTTTATCTTAAACAGGCACTGTTGATCAAGGGATGGCAAATGGGTACACGCAGACTTTGTTCAGGGGAGGGATTTGGGAGTGTGTATTCTCCTCAGGATCACTATGTACACCTTGTTTCAATTAAGTGGATAGAAGAGCCACAACATATTTTTGTGGTTTTATTTTTTTTAAGTTCTTTCATTTTAAGTCTAAAGATTAAAATGCATTGGACAGACTCCTGAGCTTCCCTTAGAGTCTAGGAAGTATTTTTGTAAGTTCTCTGATATGATTTTTCAACTTTTTACAATCTAAATAGTCTATACAATGCACTTTGAGAATCAATTATAGTATTTTTAATTTTTTTCTAATAACCTACTGCATTTCCTACTCTCTTGACTAGTATTATAGCAAATAGACAATTGTAACTGTTGTGGGCCTCGTCAGCCACAGAGACTATAGAAGGAATTGCTTAGGTCAACAGAGCTTTTTGTTCTTTTCTTACAGATAACTATGCAAAAAATCAGCAGCAGAAGAAATACCAAGAAGAGGCCATTCCAGCATTACGAGATATTCCTATTAGCGAAGTAAACAAAATGTTCTTTCTTGCAGCCAAAGAGCTTTACTCCAAAAACTGAATTGTATGTAGGCACACTAAAACCAAGCATTTATTTATGTTTTTGACTTAATAATTTTGATCATAATAAATTTGACCATATTTTATTAGTATTCAATATTGAGATGTTAAAAAATGTAAATTGATCTTCCCTTATGTTCAATTAACATTGTAAATGTTCTGAAATATTAGTTTTTAATAGAAAGAATAAATAAAATACTACATTATCTTATAGCAGACTCTTAAAAAAACAAGTGTCAGTATAATCAAAAGGTTCCTCCCCAGAGGTATTTATATTGTGATTTGCAAAGGGCAACCGTGTCCTTCTTTCTGTTTGTCCTGAGGGCCAGAATTCAAACTCTTAGTTTTGGGGGAAAGGTATGTTTAATATTTATGCTGTCAGCATATATTGAGTACTCACTATGTACCGGGTCTTTTTCTAGGCACAAGAATGTAGTAATGGTAAGACTCTCTCTCAAAGAGCTTATGTTTTAGAGCTAGGTTGAAACGACTAAGCAGATAAACAAGGAGGTATTATTTATGATGAGTGTTATGCAAAGAATTAAGATAGCATAATATTCTAGAAAGTAAAGGAATGACTACTTTACATCGGATGGTCAAGGAAGGCCTCTCAGAGGCAGTTAGGGTTGAGACTTGAACAGCAAAAAAAAGAAAGAAAGGGCCAGTCATGGAAGGGACAGGATGAAGCAGGTAAGGACAAAGACCATAAGGTAGGAAGGATCTTGGTAAGTCCTAAGAACAGAGAGAGTACTAGTAATAGTCCTGGAGCAAACTGACTGAGGGACCCTGCAGAGACCAGCCCCAGAGCATGAAGTGCTTTGTAGGCCAGTGTAGGAAGTTTGGATTTAAGTCTAAGAGTTTGAGGCACTTTAAATACCAAGCTATTGAGAATCTTTAAGGAAAGGAGTGATATGGCCTGATTTGTGTTTTGTAAAGGTCACTCTGACTGATGGATGGAGAATGGATTCAGAAAGGGCAAGAGTACGGAAGTAAGGAGACAATTAGGAAGCTATTGCATTAGTCTAGGCAAAAAGTGATTGCTGCTTAGACCAGAATGGTAGTGAAGTTAGGGAGGAATAGACAGCTCTGCAGCCTTTCTTGGGGACAGCTGAGTGGGTATATGGATCTGATTAAGCAGAATAGTCAGGGATAGCTGAGAGAAATTGTGCCCAAAGGTCATTCCTAGATTTTTTTGAATTAAGGAACTGGGTAGATTGTTATACCTTTTATTGAAATGAACAATTTTTATGGAAGTGTAGTTAAGGGGATTGGAGATTTGGTATGTGAATTAGTTTGAATGGTACTACTTTATTAATACCTAGATGTTTATTGTATAAGATTAAGAAACTTGGATATAAGATTTTTTTTAGAACCATATGTAATTTAGCAAGAGTATACTCAACAATTAGCCAGTGAGACCAAATCTAAATTTATTTAGCGCTCAAGGCCTCTAATTTTTGACACCCATAATCTCTTTACTAGTCTGGCTGTTCTTTTTCTTTGGAGTATATACATATGCATATGTTTACACATAGGAGTGGAGTCACAGATTTTAACTTATGCAAATTCAACTGTACTTTCTGCAAACAAAGAAATTAATCATGTTAAATATGTGGGAAAACTAAGACTTCCCTTTCAATGGCCATGTCTTTTCCCAGTAGGCATGAGATGGATAACATGAATCTACTGTTCCTGTTCCCTGGTTTGTCCCAGTCCCCGTGTTATTTTATAGGGACAGCATGTTATCATACCTAAGAGCAGTTTAAGGGAACCAGCCAACTCCATCAAGTATAGAAAGATAAATAAATAAATTGTGGTCTGTCTATACTGTGGAATACTATACAACCATGCAAACAAGAATGAATTACTGCTACACCTAACAATGTGAATGAATATCACATCCATGACGTTGGGGGGAAGAAGCACATAAAAAATATATACTGTATGATTCCATTTATATGAAGTTCAGAATTAAGAAAAAATAATCTATGGTGGTAAATATTAGAATAATAGTTACCTTTGGAGGACGGTATTAACTAGGAGAAACCAAGAAGGAGCCTGCTAGTGAGTTGGAAATGCCCTACATCTTAATCTGGGTGGTGCTTACCTGGGTGTAATGCATGCTTTTAAAAAATCATGGACTTATTTCATTAAGATTTGTGCCCTTGATGTAAATTATACCTCAATAAAAAGGAAAAAAAGCAGTACCTAGAAATGTTGATTTGTTGGCCTGGTGTGGGGCACAGGTAGGACTAATTTTTTAATGTCTCCCAGACACTTATAATATGCAGCCAGGATCAAAAATGACTGCTTTACCTGATTGGACTTAACTGAGCTTGCAGTCAAGGCGGGCAGTAACTTTCCACTTTGGAAAAGAAAGCCAGCAGTTATCAGAGAAGTCCTTTCCCCATCTTTGTGAGACTCCTCCTCTTAGCAACAGTATTTCCTTGTCTTCCCTAGGACCTGTGATAGGCCTAAGAAGTCTGAAATGGGTCAGAATAGAACCTTAATGAACTCTTACCACACAGCACATAAAACCTCAAATTAACTCTTCATTCTGTTTCCCAAGCACATTGTCCTTAGAGCTCATAAAAGGTTATACCAGTGTTTTCAGACAGTGGGCAGCAATTTTTTTGAGGGCTATGATTAGTTTAGTATGCAGTTCTTCATCTTTTGTTTTAAATATCAAGACCCCTTTATATAGTAAGAATCCCAAAGACCCTTTGATTATGTGGATTATATAGAAAATTTTAAAATATTTATTATTTATAAATAATAAACCTATTACTTTTTAATTATAAAATTAATTTTACTTATCATACTTTTATAACATAAGAAACAAAAAGCAGCCGGGCTCAATGGCTCAGCCTGTAATCCCGCACCTTTGGGAGGCTGAGGTGAGTGGATTGCCTGAGCCCGCAGGTTCGAGACCCGCCTGGGCAACTTGGCGAGACCTCATCTCTACAATAAATCAAAAAATCAGCCGGGCATGATAGCACATGCCTGTAATTCCGGCTACTCGGAAGGCTGAGGTAGAAGGATCGCCAGAGCCCAACAGGTCGAGGCTGCAGTGGCCGGGAGTGGCCACTGCAGTCCCAGTCTGGGCGACAGAGTGAGACTCCAACTCAAAAAAAAAAAAAGAAAAGAAACAAAAAGCTTCTGTTATGAAAACATTTATCCCAAAGTATTGCTATAATAAGCTGATTCCAAAAACAATGAAATTTAACATATATTTTATGCACGATAACTATATTTTCCAAAACAACAAAATGTAGTGAAACTAGTAGAATTGTTTTGCATTTTTGCAAATCTCCTCAATGTCTGGCTTAATGGAACACAGCTGGGTCCTCATACCTGCCTCTGCATTTAATCTGTTACATTACCACATACAAAGCCTCAGAAAACTCCATGGCATACTCATGAGAGAATGAGAATGAAAAAGACAACATCTTAGAATTATGAAAATGGTTTTGACCTCATAGACCACCCCTGCGACATTCTGACACTGAACCTTGAGAACCACTGCTTAGTGGGCCATAACTAGTTTGTGTGTGTGTGTGTGTGTGTGTGTGAGAGAGAGAGACAGAGACAGAGACAGAGAGATGAACTAGAGTGGAATAGAATATGTCAGAGTGCCACTCAGACCCTCTCTGTCTACCTCTTACTCCAACCACTGATAGCCTAAGCAGTTCTGTGCAGGTTTTGACCAGATCCACACAGGTGCCGCTTTTGCACTCTGCAAGAAGGAGGAGTGTTAACACCCATAGGACCAGCCTGGAGGCCAACATGGGACTGGTGTCAGTGGACGAGCACATCCCCCTTTCAGCTCAAGGAGACAGTTCTGGGCTCCATTCCCGAGCTCTTCAGAAATTCTTGTGGGGTTGAGCTGCAGTGGCCATGGCAATGGTGAACTCAGGCACATGTGCCTATGTGGGCTTGTCTGTTTGCTCCCTCTGCTACTCACTGCTACTTCCTGTGGTCACTTTCCCAGTAAATGCCTAAACACAAGTCTTAGTCACAGGCTCTGCTCTCAGGACTACAGCAGAGATGGTTTCATTTGTAAAAATTGTGGTTCAGTTATAGGGCCACGATGTATAATGCACGTCATAATTTAAGAAAAAAGTCTGAACTATTGTTTTGCAATAAACCCAAATAATAGCATAGAATACTCCAAATAGAAAGTCGGTAATACAAAAATGTTCCGAATATTAGCCAAAACTCTTCCAGTGAGTAAATTCCCAGGAAGAAATAAATTAAGAGTCTAAATATGAAATCACCTAATGAAAATCCAACAGGATTCAGATCCAAAATTCTGCCGCCGCCCCCCCCCCTCAATTTCTTGACCTGCCCTGTTTTAATCAAAAGGATCTCAATCAGATGACTGGATTTCCTCAAGAAGCTGCTGTCTAGTCTCTCTTAAGCAAATTGACCCAACCTAAAATTTCCTGTGTCTCTCCACATTTTCAAAGAGTCAGAAGAACACACAGAAGTATCATATTAACAGCCCCATGCCCGCAGAACTTAGAAAACCCAAATAGGCCAGGGGTGGTGACTAAAACCTGCAATCCCAGCACTATGGGAGGCCAACGTGAGAGGATTGCCTGAGACCAGGGGTTTGAGACCAGCCTGGACAACTTGATGAGACCTTGTCTCTACAATAAATCAAAAAATTAGCCAGGCTTGGTGGCGCATGCATGTAGTTCCAGCTACTTGGAATGCTGAAGTAAAAGGATTGCCTGAGCCCAGTAGGTCAAGGCTGAGGTGGCCATGAGTGTGCCATTGCACTCCAGCCTGGGCGACAGAGTAGGACTCCAGCTCAAAAAAAGAAAAAAGAAAACCCAAATAAATCAACTCTTGCAGTAAATGTCCTAGAGCTCAATGTATTATACAATATAGGCATAGGCCAATAACCATAATACAGAATGTGGGGAAAGGAAGGCAGAACAAGGAAGAGGAAAGAGATTCTTCTAGCTTTGTCTCTTGATACAGGTCAGGCTGTGGCAGTTGTCATGGTTCTCAATCACTCAATTTAATGCAGTTGGGTTAATAGTGAGGTTGGGAGAAAAATTGCTTAGTCTACCTTTTCTAGTTAGGATAGTTTAAGTCAGCCTGTGGTAACAACTCTAAAATTTCTGTGGCTTAACACGACAGCAGTTTTTCAAAGGACAGCACTTTGAGTTCGCCACCAAATCTGAACGGTGCCACATGGACAAGGACAATGGTTAATACAGTGATTACCTGTATTGACCCATGACCCAGGACCAGATGTTCTTTCTTTCACTGTTCCTCATCACCACATTAGTCCCAGAAGCCAGAGATGTGATGGAAATCTCAGTTAGGTACCAGAGGAATCACAGAATCAGAAATGATGGTGTTATGAAAAAAAGTTATAATTCTTGAACAAATACATTTGTGGACCAAGGTTTTTAATCTATTCCACGAGATACAGAAGAAATTATTGTCCAACAATTCAATACCTACCTCAGGCTATTTCTGCACGTCCAGTGTGCTCAAGTTCTGCTTGTGTAGGTTATAGTCACAGGGGACCATGTGGCCAGGGCCAGAAGATGTGAGCCAGAGCCTCACAGTGACTCAGACATCACCAGTTGCACCATAATCAACCCACCGGTGTCATAAAGCCTGTTTACATGAGCCTGGCATATTAGAAGCATCTGTAAGTCAGCCTGCATCAGCTGATGAGGCTGCCCCAAGAGCCCATCTCTCCCTGTTACACTTTGGCTTCTTTTTTAAAAATTATTATAAAGATGTGGGGTACAATTCAGGATTAGATAGACAAACATTGATTTTGCAGGTACCCTTGTTGATAAGGTATGCCCCTTCCTCCCATAGCAGTTTCCCTCAACTGCCAATCTGACCGCCCTCCCCTGACAGTTTCCCATTACTGCCAAATGCTTCCTTATAGGACACTTTGGTTTCTAATACCACCTCTTTTGACTGTTCTCAGTTAACACATCGTGGGTTGGAATGTCCTAGGGGAAGTTCAGTCACTCTCTCCTCATCACCATTCTGTGAATAACTTAAGCACCTAGTAAGAATTAAAATTATTAACAATGGGGCCAGATTTTCAAATGCTGCATAAACCCAAAACTAAAATCAGGTTTTCTTCCCTGAAGCTAGACCTGGGAACTGATGTGAGGAGGCCTGGACCTGCAGACTTAGACATGTGGCCCACCAGCTGCATACTCAGAGTCTTGGAGAGTCAGGCACAGAGACAACTTCTGTGCAGTCACCCATGCCACACCAGCTTCCTTTCGGGTCATCAGAAGAACACCCCACTTCCTTCCACTCCGGGGCTTATGGCTGCTGTTTCTTCTGCCTTGAGCACCCTCCCTCTTCCTCCACCCTCTCATCCCTCCCTTCAGATGACATTCCTTCGGGCTTGCTTTACCTGTTCCACCAGAGTGCGTGGTCCCTAAGCATAGCCTTCCCTTCTCCACATGGCTGTCATTTTCCATTTACCCCGTTGTGCAAGCTGCACCCGGCCAAGGACCCTGTCTGTTTTGTCAACTTACCGCCAAGACCTGGCTCCGTACCTGGTATGTAGGAGAATACTCCATAAATATGTATCAAATTAATGAGTAACCCAAGTGGAGAGGTTGACGTGGAGGGAAGTTAAGAGCAACTAGGGGCCCTTCCACCCCGAGTCCTGAGCTGCTGGGCTCAGACTTTGAAAGACGAATGGACAGACAGAGGTCTTGGCATTATTTGGCTGCCTTATCTCTGAAGTTTGGACTGTAAACTGTTCTTTCCCTCCTCTTCATAATAGTTTTGTGAAGAATTTGAGAGAAAAGAAACCATGTTGCCTGTGCAAAGTCAGTGGGGGAAAATGAGTTTTGTACCATATCTGAAAACTTAACCTGACACATGGGGCTGAACTTTCAGGACAGGCAAGAAAGAGATGGATTTCCAGAAAAGTCCCTTCCTTGTATTTATTTAATTTATTTTTGAAATAGGGTCTCGCTCTATCATCCAGGCTGGAGTGCAGTGGTGTGATCACAGCTCACTGCAGCCTTGAATCCCTGGGCTCAAGGAATACTTCCACCTCAGTTTCCTGATAACTGGGACTACAGGGGCATGCCACCAAGTCCAGCTAATTTTAAAAAAATTTTTTGTAGTCTTCGAGTTCTCACTATGTTGCCCAGACTGGTCTTGCACACCTAGCCTCAGGCAATCCTCCCACCTT